AAGTATTTTATTTATTTTTATTTTATGTGTATGAGTGTATTGCCTGCATATACGTAGGTGTAGCCATATCGTACAATACCTGCAGAAGTCAAAAGAGGCCATTGGATTCCCCTAGAACTGGAGTTATGGGGACAGGTGTTAGCCACCATGTTGGGTGCTGGGACTTGAACCTGGGTTCTCCGCAAAAGTAGTCAATTCTCTAACAGCTGAGCATCCAGCCTCAGTGATGCACACTTTTAGTCCCAGCAATCAGGAAACAGAGGCTGGCAGATCTCTACCAATTGGAGGTTAGCCTGGTCTACATCAGGTGAGCTCCAGGTCAGCCAGAGTTATACAGTGAGACCCTGTCTCAAACAAACACTATATCTCTGTTCTGGGGTATGTTTTATTTTCTTCCCTAGCACCTTTCTTTCTCTTAACTCCAGTGTTTAAAATTTTTATAAAAATTTTTTAAGATCAGGAATTCATTATGTAGACCACTCTATCCTCAATATTACAAAGATCTGCCTGCCTCTGCCTCCTAGGTGCTGTAATTAAAGGCCTCTGCCACTATGCTCAGCTTAAAAATTAAAAATCTCTTAATAAACTCCAATTATTTTTCAAATAAACCCCACATGTTCACTGCATAATACTTGTGAAAATCAATGAAATTTTTTTTATTATTTTATGTGTATGAACATTTTGCCTGCATGTGTGTAGGCTTTTTGCCACCATGTGGTTGCTGGGAACCAAACCTGGGTCCTCAGCAAGAACAGCTGGTGACACATGCCTTTAAACTCAGCACTCAGGAGGCAGAGGCAGGTGATCTCTGTGAGACCTAGACCAGTCTGGTCTACGTAGTGAGTTCCAGGTTAGCCGGGCTACAGGGAGACTCTGTGTCAAAAAACAAAACAAAACAAAAAAGATTACAAGTATGCATGTTTATGCAGTGCTAGGGGCTGAACCAAAAGCATGGTACATGCTAGGCAAGCACTCTAACTGAGCTACATCCCCAGCCTTGCAATATGCTAATACTACTATTAGAAATCCAAGTCTTTCTTCGGTATTAGCTAACTATCCAGTGTTAATATTATCACTCAAACTGATTTAGCACATATTTTATAAAAAATTATTTTGGGTTTTTTGAGACAAGGTCTCATGGAGCCCCTGAACTACATATCAGAGGATGACTTAACTACTGATCCTCCTGTTTCCAACTCCCAAATGCTAGGGTTACCAGTGCTGGGGTTACAAGCCTGTTTCGTGCTGTTTTTTTTTTTTTAATATTTTACTTATTTTTAAATTTTATGTATATGAGTATATTGCCTACATGTATATGTAAGTGCACCCAGGTCGTACAATGCCCACAGAGGTCAGAAAAGGGTGTCAGATCCCCTGGAACTGGAATTAGGGACAGTTGTTAGCCACCATGTGGGTGGTGGGAACCAAAGCCAGGTCCTCTACAGGAGCAGCCAGCATTTCTTAACCGCTGAGCCATCTCTCCAGCCAAATCATGCCCGGTTTAAAAAAAATTATTCTATTTTCTTATATTTGATATTATGCTAATTTTAAGTTTTTTCTTTAATTCATCAAACATATTTTACTACCTATCAAAGTTTTAAGAAACTTAGAAAATTCTTTGAAAGTCTTCTTACATTGTTTCTATTCTTTTTTTGGGGGGGGGTTTCTTTTTTGAGATAAGGTCTCCCTGTAGCCCCAGCTGGCCTGGAACTCACTGTGTAGACCAGGCTGGCCTAGAACTCACAGAGATCTGCCTACCTCTGCAGGTGCTGGGATTAAAGGTGTGTGCCACCAAGCCTGGCCCTGTTGTTGTTCTTTTTAAACTTCACTGTTTTTATTATTATTATTATTATTATTATTATTATTATTATTATTTTATTTGTTTGGGTTTTTGATATGGGTTCTACACTGTAGCCCACTCTGGACTATGTAGCTCCAGCTGGCCTCAAAATTGCAGCAATCCTGCCTCAATTTCTTAGGTGCTGGGATTACAGGCCTGAGCTACAGTGGCAGGCTAAACTTTAGAAAAATAATTTTTTTAAAAAAATACAACAAAAGAAAACAAAAAAGGCTTAATGAAACCCATTACTTTGTTAACTTAAAAATTAAGAAAACAGTATAAAAAACAAACCTCAAATTCCAAATAGGACTGGTTTGGATAGACATTTGGGGGAAAAAAAAATTCTAGCTTTCCCTTGGTATGTTTAGCTTTTGAGTACAGAGGAAGTTTGTTCAAAATCAGACTGCTTTCTTTGTGAATATACTTATTTGTTCATTGCCACACAAAATCTCACAAGTTTCTGAAATCATGTACACTCATGGTGTTGGATATCAAGAATATTACTAATAGCTGTAAACTGAAGAAAAAAACCCTACAAATCTCATTTATATAAAATGAAATACAAAAACTCATTAAATAATAGAAAATTTGGGAGGGATGAGGCATGCTCTTTAAATGGAATTATTTATGATAGTGCCTTTTTAAATGGCAACTCTACTAATGTGATTTATAAAATTCTGGAGATGATAAACTTGTATGTGTGGGAATAACTGAATACGGAATACAAACCAGGAGTGATATTTAGTTCATTTCCTACAGCTAGACTCCAAACTTTCCCACGAACACTAGGGGGCAATCCCTGCCACCACAATTCTCGAACTCTTCTCGTACTACGCCTAGAATTAAAGGAGGAGAAAAAAGGAAAAAGTTACTTTTTATATCAAAAATATTAGTTGCATGATGGTTTACCTACGGACAAGTGATGAGGTGATTGGTAAGAATTTAAAGAGTTAAATATATAGTGCATTCTTTGAATTCATGTCTACAGGCCATGAAATCCTACACAGGACCTTAAAGATGGACAATCATAACTTAAAGCGAACTGCCTCTGATAGATGTTACTTATACTAAAGATCTAATAAGAAGAAATAAATGGATAATTTTTTTTGGTCTTTTTGAGACAAGGTCTCCCTGTAGCCCCAGCTGGCCTGGAACTCACTATGTAGACCAGGTTGGCCTTGAACTCAAAGATCTGGCTGCCTCTGCCTCCCAAGTGCTGGTATTAAAGGTGTGCACTACCATGCCTGACAATTTTTTTTTTTTTTAAAAAGGACAAAAGGGACATAAAATGTACTGCCAATTCAGTACCTAAAATAAAACCACAAAGAACCTACTATGGGTTAAGTCCCCAGTCTTCAAGGAGTAGTAGTGTGCTGAAAGAGTGTAGGCTTTAGAGTCAGACAGTCCTGAATTCAAATCTAGTTTAGTCATTTACTGCATAGCCTTGGGCAAATCACTTAGCTTCTCTAACTACAAGCCTTATAAATGCCTTATAAAAGTTCTAAGATTCAAATGCAATTACCTATGTAAACAATATAATACAATAGTTTATCTGCAAGGAATATGTTCTAAAACCCCAATGTTCACAAATAATACCAAACTATATTTTTTCCTATATAAATATATCTATGGTAAAATTTAATTTATAATTTGGACACAGTAA